AGCTGTTAGCCAGCCCCAGGCCAGGCAAGTTCACCTGAATCCTCTCCTTACCCACTTTTAGTGCTTCTCACTGCATCTCTGGTGAATCCTAGTGTTCTCTCCTAGATGATCCATTTGAAATGTGATAATCTGCTTACTATTCTGGTTCCTCTCTGTGAAGAAGGGACATATATATATTGTACCTGTGTCTAGTTGGCTATCTTGATCCTATTTCTCTTTGAAGACTCAGTTATAGCACCAAGTAGGTGGCAGTACCTTGCAGGGCTGGGAGAAGGTTCAGCATCATATGAATCATGTAGCTATTTCTCCCATAGCCAGGATTCACAGGTCCAGGAATTAAAGGGTGGACCTGGGAATGGCACCAGTCACTACTACCACTAGTGACCTACTAGCAAAGTTTTTGCTTCATGTTCCCATGACCTTGTGCTCTGCTGGCCTAGAGATCTTAGTTCCAAAGTGAGGAATGCTTCCACTAATACATACAATGATTCTATTGAACTGGAAGTTAAGATTGCTACCCGAGTCACTTTGGATGGCTTCTCATACCTCTGAATCCACAGGCAAAGAAGGGAGTTACTGTACTAGCTGGGGTAATTAATCCTGAATCCTGAATTAATCCTGAATAATTGGACTACTGCTTCACAATGGAGGTAAGGAAGAGTATATCTGGAATACAGGAGATCCCTTAGGCAGTATCATAGTATTATTACCACACCCTGTGATTAAAGGCAATGGAAAATTAACTACAACAGCTGAATCCAAGCAGGACTACTGATGGTCCACACTTTTAAGAATGAAGGTTTGGTTCGCCTCACCAGGTAAAGAACCATGACCAGCTGAGATATTTGCTAAAAGCAAAGGGAATACAAAATGGATGGTGGAAGAAGGTAGTTAAAAACACCAGCTATGCCCATGTGACCAGTTATAAAAATGATTGTCATGGGTATTTCCTCATTTTGTTATGAATATGTTTGTGTGTATATAGTATATATGCACAGCAAATACCTTTATTTTCTTCTCTCTCTTATTCCCTTATTATATAACATCAGATATGTTGACTTTATAACATAGCATTCTTTCTCTCTCTCCTCCCCACCCCCAACACACTCTGTTGGTACTGTTTCTTTGATGAACCCTGACTAATACAATCTGCCAATAATATCTGGAGTTGGAATAGCAAGAAATGAATCAGATTCGTGGATGATAATACATAAATATTTGCTAGGTGCCACTCCTAGCAAGTTTTAAAAAATTAACTAATTTTGAATTTTTTGATTTCTCTGTTCAAAAGTTGTTAAAATCCAGAAGGCCATCATCAGAAACAGCGATGAAAACCAAGAGACATCAACAAGCTGCAAACTGAAAAAAATCAGTCTTTAGGGAAGTATCATGTAGTAAGCATACACCTGCCACTGGTTCCATGACTATCACTTTTCCTTTTTAAATTCATGGTTCAGGAATAATGTTTTAAAGGGTAGTTAGGTTAGCCTACAAGTTTAAAAATCAACAATGTAGTGAAACTCTCCTAGAGAACTAACTGAGCTCTGTGCCTGGGGAACCAAGCTGCTGAGCAGAGGAGGGAAGAATATGAATATAGATGCCTTTTTTCTAGGCACAGGTGATTCTCATGTATGTTCCATAAATAATCATCCTGTTGAAGTCTCTTGTTGCCACCTGGTGCCATTCCTAATTCCTGCTTTCATTATTGAACTATGTCTGACATAAAAATTCAGATAAATTCATTGACCAAAAGTGTTTTGAGCATCTACTTTTGGCTAGGTTCTTTGCTAAGCATTGAGAAAACAGAGAAAATGACACTGTCTACTTCCAAAAGAAGAGAGCAGGAAAATAAAAGAAACAAAAGAAATGAAGAGTAAACTTTTCCATTCTTTACTATATTTGACTTCATTCCTCTCTAACCCACTTTTACATCCTACTCACAGTGTATGGGAATAACACAGATCCATGCCCATTATTTTTATATGAATGTACAAGTGCATCAAGAGGACTACTTGGCTTAATGGCAGTTCATAGGAAAGAGACCTATGCTATTTAAATAAATGAAAATTCAGTTGAAACAATGATGTGATTGAACTACATAAAAAGCTAACCATATGTAAAGTTGTTTCCTTATTTGCAGAAATGTCTAGATCAAGGTAGGGAATAGTTTTATTATTGTATACCTTATTATATATTGCTGAAAGACTTTGGAATAGTTAGCCTGGAGTTAGAAAATTAAGCCACACCTGGAAACCTTCTTCAAACCTTTGGTCCTTGGTTTGTCGATGGATGAAAACCTTAGAAAAATTAGTGTAAGTTACAGATGTGGTCTTACTGTTAGCTTAGCAACCTAAGCTATAGAATAAAGAAATAGGTTGGCCTGAGAGATATCAGTCAGTATTAATACAATGATCTTCATCATTGGAAGTGACCACGAAGAGAATGGACAGACACCTGTCCATGAAGCTCTAGAAGGAATTACTCTATTAGCTGAGAGTCGAACTAGATAACGCTCAGTTATCTCCTCAAGCTCTAAAGTTCTATGATGATTTTATATTTTTAATAAGTTGTGGTCTATTTACCTGTACATTAGGTAGACACTTCAATGACACTATTATCAAAATGTTTATAGCATGTCCAATAACATCATTGCACAAAAAATAAACTCAGAAATTTAATTGAATAAATATTAACACAATAAAGTATACATCTTTGTTCTCAAACAAACCTAGGGTGTGCAGTGTTTCCTGAACAAAAAATTTTCTTTGGAATGCAAATCTTGCATGCTGTAAAGACCTAGAATAACACTCATGTATTTGGGTTATTTTAGACATAGAAAAATAACACATGGGTTCTCTAAGGCTATTGAATACTTATTCAATATATCTTCAATTTCTGTTTTGTTTTGTTTGCTGGAAGCACTATCATTAAAAGTACGTACCATGATAAATTTTATTAAACTTGTGCTTTTAAACATTGGGAATATAAGTGCTCGATCCTTTGTACTCTAGGGAACACTTTTATTTAGTTTTTTTCTTCCTGTCCTTTCATTGCTTCTAATAAAAGGTTAAGACTAAAATAGCTCTCCTTCAGCAAGAGCATATTTTAGTTTGTGTTCCTAAAAGTTAGTGGGTAATCAGAACAATATGATATAAACCTTTTGCATGTTTTTCTCAATATTATTTTCCTCTAACAGTGACTTTTCAAATATTTGAAGTTTTGAATATGAGATTCTATAAGACAACTTTTATTTTCATTATGATATTAATAGTGTTTTAAAAAAATCTCTTGTATATAGTAGAAATGTCTGTTGGAATCTTATCAAAAGTGAGGCTAGTTGTCTCCTTAATATGATAAGAACATTTTTTTCAATGGGTGTGTTGATCCATGGCATCTTTCACCTCTCCTTGGCTAGCTACTTGTCTCTGTGACACCTGTAGCTTTTCTTGGTGCAGCTGTCGAGATCCGTAAGGGAAAGTTACCAGGAAAATCTTCCAGGTACCATTCTGTAGGTTGACTGGCACAGCTAGCTAAAGACTTCTGGGTTAGACCAGGTTGAGACTCCAATGACTCAAGCAGAGTGTCTACTATTTGATCTACTCCCATACCTGTAGCCAATGTGATTTGTTTTCTGAAGTAATTATAATTACTCTCAAAGCTCTTAAAACCCTGCTACTTGGACTTGGTGAATGAGGTATCATTTGAAAAGATATGATAAGTAGACCATAGGTATCATGACAAAAGAACTGTAGGGGCCAAAAAAAAAAAAAAAATGTAGAGCCCTCTGAAGGTTTGCTGAGAAATCAATGCACAAGGCAGATTAATTATAGAAAAGGCCTACAAAATTTATTTAATATGTACTGGAAGCCTTCAGAATGAAGACCCAAACATAGAGGGGAATTGTTCACTATTATGCTTAGGTTCAACAAGGTATGAACAGCCACTGGACAGAAAGGGTATAATCTAATGCTAATAGACTGAGTGGGGGAACCCGGTATGGCCTGTCTGTCTAGATTCTTCTCAGCATCTCTGAGTATGCATTCTTTCCTTCTGGGCATGGAGTAAGACCCTCTCTGGAATAGGGGTCTTATGACCTATAGTCAAACAAGGTAGGTCAGTTCATTTCTCTATGGTCAGTTTTTACACAGAAAAGTAGAGGGAAAGTTATTATAATAAGTTATTGTAATATTTTTAGGTTTTGTGACTGGCTTTGGGAAAAAGGAGTTCTGGTTTCTATGACCTGCCTTGGAGAAGAAGGATTGTAGTTTCTATGGCTAGCCTCAGGGAAGAAGGGGACTGAGACAAGAGGGCAGAAGAAGGTCAGAGAAAAACTTTTGCTTCTGTGGCTGCTTCTGAGCCTTTATTTTCAGTGTTGTCTTCTGAGTCCCAACAAAATGAAACGCTGATTTTTTTTTTTTAATGAAGAGTTTCTAAAAAAAAAAGAGGTGTTTTTTTTTTTGTAATAAACAATAAGGATGACTAATATATATCAGCTCCTAAAAGCTTTGGAAGCCTTCTTGCTTCACTGATAGACAGTGGGGTTTACCAACTCAGTCGCTCACAGCTTCCCTCCATTTAGTCTTTGTGTGAAAAGCACAATTAATACTGTCTTGAATAGTACAAGATGAGCTGAGAAACCATCCTTCAGAGATACAAATTCCTGCCTTGGGTGGAAAGCTGGATGTTATTAACTTTCATGTTTTTTTTTTTTTTTCATGATCTGTGATTTTGGTTTTAATTAAGTTATGATCACACATAATTTTCAAGTTTGTGTATATCTCCTCTACTTTAAGCCTTTTAATGAGTTGGTAAAAGCACCATTACCAATCACACATATATAGATCTTCTACAGTTTTATGTGTTTCTGAAGAGCTGTTTAAAGACAATCCTAAATTATAACTTAGTCTGACTTAAGGTAGTAAAGAATTCAAAAGTTTAATTTGCTATTTCTTGTCACATTGACTTTTAAAAGCATTAAACCTTATAGATTGTCTACAAAATGTGAGAAGTGTTAAATATTCTTTATTTGATATTACACATAAACCACACTAAAATGCCTTTCAATAAATAAAAGGCAGCATTTTAGTAGACATAGGGAAATTGGATTGGCATAGTGAAAACCAAAAATATATAAAGTAAACATTGCTACCTTATCTCTAGCCCTCGCCTTTAACAGGCTAATAAACACAAATTGAAACACCAGTGAGTCTTGCTTGGTTCCAAAACAGTGAAGGGATTTCCCTAGTATTTAAATATATTCACATAACCAGTTATGTAAATCTAAATATAAAAGCAATCTTCAACAGGTTTTGAAATGGCAATTTACCATCCTTGTGAAAAGTTGAACACTACTAATTAATCCAATCATGTCTTAAGAAGGGGGGAAACAGTGATAGCATTTACTGTATTGGAATTACTATCAAAGTTCAAAAAACCGAATTAACCACAAGCCAGTCTTAGTTAAATCAGGACTGTCCAACAAAAATATTCTTGTCACTCTTTCATGATCTGAATTCTGGTGTGAGACCAGAATGAGACCAGTATGAGACCAATCAAATTATGGTACACATAAAAAAAGTTACGAGATATTTCTGGTTTGTAATAAATAAGGCAGGGGCCAATTATTACTCATTAGTGGCTTTTTTGAGATAAGCTATCAAGTCTGCCCTTTCTCCCTTCTTAATGCCGGCGAAGATCATTTTTGTTCCAGGGATGTACTTCTTGGGATTCTCCAAATACTCCATCAGTGTGTCCTCTCCCCAGGTAATGCCTTTGTTCTTATTGGCGTCTGTGTAAGAGAATCCAGCAGCCTGACCTGTCTTTCTCCCAAAGAGACCGTGGAGATTTGGCCCAGTCTTGTGCTTGCCTCCCTTTTCCACAGTGTGGCATTGGGCACACTTCTGAACAAAAATCTTCTTGCCTTTCTCAACATCACCCATATTTAATTCCCTCTTTGGTTGCTGACGGCATGAAGGTTCCCCAACTTTCATGCTTTCATTCAACTTTTAATTCTCCTTAATCACTACAAAGATATAAAGATATATTTTGTTCTAGTTGAGAAAGTTGATCCACATGACTTTTGCATTCTGATAGAATTATTAAGAGGTAAAATGAAAATTAGAGCTTTCTTCACGTCAAGGACCAATCTCTATCTCAGTTGTGTGCTAATTTACTTGAAAATAATAAGTTTGAAATTAAGGAGACAATTCTCTATTTTTATATTTTCTTTATCTTCAGAAAAAATTCTCTAAGGAAAAATTTCCCTAACTATATCACAGGTTAATTTATAATTTGGGTTGCTAGTGACTAGAAGCCACTGCATGTGTGCTGGCTTGATGCCTCATTTTAGAATGAGGCTAATTCTAGTGAATAGAGGTCCACACAGGCAATTACTGTTTTTGTTGGTTCCTCTGGTACTAAGCCTAAGAATAGGAAAAAAACAAAATGAAACTGCAATGCAACAGAATCATCTTTTACTTTCATCTTTCAGTTCAGCATAAACTGAGGAATGTGTTTGACTGGGGGAGGAGGAGGGACTTGGTCCACTTTTACTTCTTTCAGTAAAGGAGTTTAGCTCCATTACGCACTGCTAGAGAGAGAATATTTAAAATTAATTTAAAAGGTAAAAGACTTTTAATATAAAGAGAGATTGATTTTATTAAAATGCTTTCAGATTCTACAAGACAATGACTTATTTATCAGTCTAACTCTGTATCATTAGTATAACTTCCTTTCTAAGGATATTGATTTTTTATGTGTTTTGGAAGTGGGAAAAGAACCAAGGCAGTCTACCAAAATACTCTTTCACCATCCTTTTTAAACAGAATTGGTCCATCATGCTGACAGAAACCATTTCAAAACAGTAGAAATTCTTTTTTTCCCCAAAGGGGCAGTATTATGTTATTAGAGATGTTTCTTAAACAATAAAGGACAGGCTATATTTTTATAAGCTGTGTTTTGCTGAGTTGAAGCATGAAATGTCAAATATATAATAAAGTATTTATGCTTAAGTACACTGAATCATTAAAATGTTTGAAATATTGAAATGGATTATCAGCCATATTGGCATCTTGGATGACACAGGAAGTTCTGTATTTATTGTTAACATGAAAAACTCAAAGGGTTATATTCCTTTTTAGATTCAGAGCCCAAATAGAATTGATTTAAAATTTAGAGCACTTCTAATCAGAAATTTAAGTATTGTATAAGTAAAACATAGAGAAAAAATTATATTTATTAGTTTTTTTCTCATGTTTTCCTGTTAAGAAATTTCTTAGAGTCTGAGGTATTTATTTAGTAAAACTCAGAATAAATGTCTGTACAAAATTTAATTTTAATTTTTGGCTGTTTAACTCTTTCAATAACATTCTTACGACTGTATTAAATGTACAATAACTATATGTATTTTCTCTACCTGATATGCTGTATCTTGCATTTTGGCATATTATTCTGATACTTTTATACTCAAGACTATCTGACAAAATGGGGAACTCCATTTTAGAGCACCACTTAATATAAATATGCATCATCTGGGGATGAGAACTGGGCTCATTGTCAGTTATGCATCCTGCTATTAGCTCCCTTGCTATTTACCACAGAATAAAAAGGCAACGTGAAAGTCTTTTTGCTATTAGTGTCTGGCTTTTATGCCGCCACCGTCCCCTCTGTAGTAGTGGAAGGGCAGAGCAATACAGATTGTAAAATGAAATCCATAGACGATCCAAAATCACTGTGGTCAGTAGACTGAGGCATGACCATAAAGCTGTTAGGAACAGACCCTGGAGTCCACTATACTTGGATTCAAATCTAAATGCTTAATAGCGGTATGACTTGGGCAGTTCCTTAACCTATTTGGGCTCCGGTTTCCTTGTTTATTTGTAAAAAGAGGGCTGTTGGAGGTTTAACTAAATATATATACACACATATAAATATATATCTATTTAAGATATATACATAAGATATAAATATAGGATACATATTCACTTAAGATATATATTAATATATTATTCACTTAATTATATATACACACACATATACACCTTGGTGAAATTCCTGGTAGGTGGTAAGTGCTACCTAAATATGAACTATCATTATATTGCCTTATCATTTCAGTATTTCAATTACTAACGAGTAACAAAATTGAATGATCTGATGATTCCTTTTTTCCTTGCTTTTTCCTTAAAGATAAAAGGTTGCAGCAAAATGTCACTTTGAAGAAGTTGAGTAAACACAAGAATAAGAAGCCCTAAAGCAAGGTTCTGAGTTAATGGGCTAATTGCTTCCTGAACCCAGAAGAATTAGCTCTTTGTAGAACTAGCAAAGGGATTATTAATAGGCTTTTGTTTTAGAGGTGATGAATTAGTATTCCAGGGACAGGCTTGATGAGAATTCTCATAACAACTGCCTCTCACAGACTTTTACTAAAACAGAAGCTTTGCAAATAATTATAATCTCATATAAGTCAAAACATTAGAATGTGAGTTTCACAAGGACAGAGATTCTGGGTTGGTTCATTGCTGTACCCACAGTGCCCAGGCAAGTGCCTGGCAAATAGTGGAGGCTCGGTACTTATTTCTCGAGTGAACTAAATGAATGAAAACCTTGACCTTTCTTTAAAATAGGATTAATATTAAAAGCAAAACAAAATAGCATGCTTTCCTACTTCCTTTGATGGATTTTTGACCCTGAGAATCCTGGTAGGCAAGTCGGCAGGGCCAAGGAGCAGCAAGTGAAGGGCATTGTGCAAAATGTGTACATTTAGCAAGTATTTCAGAAGTCGTGGTTTTGATGAAGTATTCACAGGTTCACAAGAATGTGTGCTGTGAAGTGGTGCCATACTTGACTCAGATTCATGTACACATGTCACATTTGAGTTACAAATATTGTGTCCAGCATCTGCCTAACTTTATTTAGTGTCTATAATTATACTTTTTTTCTCCCCAGGGTTTTCAGAAATCTTTGTTCCATGACCAAGTGTCATAAAGAACTTTTCTTAAGTGAAACTGTCTGCAAATACTCAGCTTTGATTGGCTAAAATTATGTTTGACATGATCCATTTCACAGGTGGGGTTGATTACATAGCATTGCTCATAATTTAGCTCATGACCTCAGATAGTAGATTAAAATAATATAACACTCTTAGAACCACACCTAACTTAATGAAATTTAAATACATATTCCTTTCTACTGCCATAGCAAGCATTTTTTGAAAACAGAAAAAAGTCCCTCTTTTTTACAGCATAGGCGAGCTGATGATTTTTTAAAATTTATTTATTTATTTATTTATTTGAAACAAAGTCTCACTTTGTTGCTCAGGCTAGAGTAAGTGCCATGGCGTCAGCCTAGCTCACAGCAACCTCAATCTCCTGGGCTCAAGCGATCCTTCTGTCTCAGCCTCCCGAGTAGCTGGGACTACAGGCATGCGCCACCATGCTCGGCTAATTTTTTGTATATATATTTTTAGTTGGTCAATTAGTTTCTTTCTACTTTTAGTACAGACGGGGTCTTGCTCAGGGTGATTTCAAACTCCTGACCTTGAGCGGTCCTCCTGCCTCAGCCTCCCAGAGAGCTAGGATTACAGGCGTGAGCCACCTCGCCCAGCCTAAGCTGATGATATGAATAGGAAACTAGTCATTTCTACACACTGTAAGTTTTCCTAATTATCTTTGTAATGAAAACTGAGAAGCTATTAGTCACCCTTGGCTGAACCATCCTCAATTCCACAGTCTTTTATAAATAGTATATAATAAAAACAGCAAACAACCTCAAAGTACATTATTAATTAATTAGACATGATTTCTTAGAGTGGTTTACATCATCTCATTTAACTTTAGAGCTTCCAGACATTAATAATAAGTCACCCAAAGCTACCATGGATTAATAATGCACATCACCACATCAGGCCTGGCCCAAGCACTCTGGGTGGGAAGGAAAAAGAGAAATGTTTACAAGTGAGCCAAGGCAGAGATATGCTGAAAACATATCTGTATTCACAGAAAACAATTAAGCATTATAATTAGAGTGAACATTCAGGTTCATTTTATTCTAAAGTACTCTTTCTACCCTTGAAGCTCCACGTAGAAAGGGTGCTTAGGGTTAGAACATTATTGAAGGTGATACAATTTTACTTGGCCCTTGAACATGTAGGGTAAACATTTTACATTATTGCACAGTAAAAAAAAAATTTACAGCCAAAGATAACACAGGATCTGATCAACATTAACACACCTGGTGTTTAAGGCTAAACAACACTGGAAAGCAGTCATTTCTAGGATGGAGATCAAATATCTTAACACAGTGTCACCTGACAGTTGCTAGAAAAGATTTTTCATTTAAAAATCTATTCATGGGACGTGCTTTCACATTTCATCTTCTTTTAACTTGTGTACTAGACAGAGGCACTTTAAGAGCTGTTAACTATAATTTCAGGAGTAATAGCTAAGTTTCAGCAGTCATTGGTAAATATGGCAAGGAATTAAAATGAAATTGGATTAAAAAGAAAGTAAACAAATCATTAAATCAGAAAATTTTGCCAAATCTTATAAAAATCACTGTTCTCTGATTTAAAGAGATTAAAACTTTAAAAATTTTTTTTTAAATTAGTAGCTATCACTCATCTATGCCCAGATAAGTAAATACTACAGCTTTCTGATGTTAAGGTATAATGGTTTTGCTGTTTGGGCTTGTAAAAGTTTTCAAATATTGACAAGTTAAGTACTTTCAGTTATGTTTTCAGTAATATTTCAAAGTATTGTATTATACATAGGTTTCTAACAGTCAGAAAAACTAAAATGTTGAATAAAATATATTGGAAGAGTTTAGTAAAGTGTATAAAAATTAAAAGACTAAAAAACCCACTCTGCTTTATATGTGTAAAAATAAATTGCATTCATCTGTGGGAATCCAGTGACTTTTTTTTCTTTCTTTCTTTTCTTTTTCCTTTTTCTTTTCTCCCCTTCTTTTTTTGGTTTTAATTAGTTGGTACATACTGTACCTGCCACAACACGTTGGAAAGTAGGTCCTGGTACACACTAAGGAATATCCAACCAGGTAAATACATCAGAGTGATGAGGCCCATGAAGTTGAGTGGGTAGTGAGAATAGTCCCAGGAACAAGCCCCGCACGTGCGGAGTCCCAGACCCCAGGACAGCTCCCACGCGTAGATGAAGATCACGTAGACGGGCACCCGCTTCCAGGTGCCCCAACCGCGGCTGTAGTGCAGGTGGAAGTAGAGCTTTTCCACCACGAAACTGCAGCTGCCATACATGAGGAAGGACCAGAGCGAAGTGTGGCCACTGGTTGCTCCGTCCCCTTGCCCCAGCAGGTTAAAGAAGAAGGTGAAGAAGATCTCATCTAGAAAGCCGTGCATTCCGAAGAAAAGGAAGCGGAGCAAGTCTGGCAACCCCTGGCTGGGGGCTCCCCCGGCGCCCCTGGGGCCGCGGGGTCGTCGCCGCCGGGCACTGGCCGCCGCAGCGGCCCTGGTCCCAGGAGGGGCGGGCAGCGCGCCCCTCCGCTGTTGCAGCCGCGGGTACCGCAGGCGCAGGAAGCGCTTCAGGAACACTCGGCAGTGGTAGAGCGCCAGCACGTACTGCAGCGCCAGGTCCAGCGCCCCCGGCGCCGCTGCGCCCCCCGCTCCGCCGCCCAGGCCGAGCAGCAGCGCCTGGCCTGCCAGGGTCTGCAGCCCCACGTGAGCCGACGGGTAGAGGAGGAAGTTGAAGACGAAGGCGCTGGGACAGCGCCGCTGCTGCAGGTAGACCTTCTCCAGCGCGAAGTGGGTGAGCGAGTGCAGGAGGCAGCGGTAGGGCGAGGAGAAGCCCAGCATCCGGAGGTCCGGGCTGCGAGCGAAGCGCCGAACCGAGGACACGAGCACGTCCAGGGTGATCCCGTGCATCCCGTAGAAGTAGAGGCGCATCCAGGCGGGCAGCGCCGCACCCTCGGCCGGCGCTTCAGCGGTGGACAGCGACTCGGGGCAGCCCGTGGCCGCCTCGCTTCCTGGCCCTCCCGGGGCCCTCGGACTCCGAGCCGCGCCGCCTCTCCGTGCCGGCCCCTCGCTGTCCATGTCGCTACCTGCCATGGGTTCGGAGGCCGCCCAGCGCCTGAGCCCGCGCCGCCGCCCCCGCGTTCTCGGAGCTGCGGGGCCGAGCGGCCGAGCCCCGCGCCGCCTCCCGGGCGCTGCCGGCCCCCGGGGGGCGCGCAGGGAGCTCCGTCCGGGCCGCGGTCCCGCGGCAACGCGAGCTGGTGCGCTCCGGGGACGCGCGGGCCGCCCGGTTCCTGGAGTCCCCCCGCCGTGGCCCCGCCGCGCCCAGCCCTCCCGGTCGAGGTGTGGCCGGCCGGCGCCCGCGCTCAGCCTGCACGGCCTACCCGGCGCGGAGGCCAGGCGAGGGGAGGAGGCGCCGGGACTCGAGGAGCAACGCAGAGGCTGGTACAAGCCTCATCCCCTTCGCGGCTCAGTCCGCGCCTCTGCCGCAGGCTCTGGAGGAGTAATGCGAGCAGCGGCCGCCCTTCCCCTTGCCCTCCTCATACCCCTCTGCTCCCGTCCCGACCTCTCCCGCCTTCCCCGCCCCTCCCCGCCCCTGCCCTCCGCGCTGAGTCCGGTGGGGGTCTGCTCGGGAACGCCCGGCCCTGCTTCAGCCTCCCCCTTCGGCGCGCTCAGCACCCGGGGCTCTGGGCGTGTGGGGGACGCTTGCAGGGCGGGGGCACCGAGTGGAGAAACACCTAACAGGTGTGACTGCCAGCTGATGGGCATTCCCTGTATCGCCGAAGCCAGGGCCAGGGCCTGGCAGGCAGGGACGAATGGCTGAGTGCCATCAGCCGGAGGCCGGTCTAGAGACCAAAATATAATATATTTAGTGTTTCTTATTCAAAACCGGCTGTGTCCTAGTCACAGGGAGCAAACTGGAGAGCCCACGGCTGCGCGCCTCAGTGTTACCCTGCATCTAAATTGCTGCTACGGGGCCTGGTGCCCTTTTCCATTCTCTTTTCTGGTCTATCTGCTTTCCTCAGTTAGTTTATGCAGGGCCAAGGGCAGAGATTCAAATTTATAAAATGATTTCAGGCCAGTTGGGTTGGGCTGGAGAAGAGGATGTGCCTTGCTCTGGCTACCGTGGGGTCTCATGTGCAGAATGGTACCTTTACTCATCCTGGCACATTGCAGTGCTGGGTTCTTCTCTAGGCAGAACTAGGTCATCTCAGAAATGGAGAGTGAAATGGAGGAGCAGGATTTTGTTTTTCTATCTTGTCTGTTTTTTCCTCCCTCCCTCCCCCTTCTGTCCCTCTCTCCCTCCCTGCCTTGTTTTTACGGAAGTGGAGAGGGTGGAAGAGCTTCAAAATTTTGGTGTGTTGGGCTCCACCATTTTCTCCAATTTTGAATCAGTCTTGGAATTGAAAGGGCCTTAGAGGTAAATTACACTGATTACCTCCTCTTTCCTCTTCTTCCCCCCAAATTAATGTCTAGGTAGAAACTAAATGACAGCTCTCATCTGTAAGTTCAGATCCCTCCTGGATGAAAGGCTTTCTGGGGAATTCCCTCCTCCGCCCCACCAGAAAATAAACATTCTGAGGCAGATCCTCCCTTCCTAAGGCACCCCTCTCCCCATCCTCTCCCCTTTCAACTCCTTATGCTCCAATCTGTGGTAGCTAAATTGTGAATTAGGTAAGACAGAGGAATTAGAGTTTTCTGAGAAGAAAATTTGTTACTATGAGAGCAACAGTTATACAAGTTCAAAGTCCTGATTTATTTATTTTTAAGCTTGGTTAGTATGTTGTTTATTTGCAGGCTTTCGTTGGCAACTGTCAAAAGTCAGTGGATGGAAGTTGTCATTTCAGGGACAGAAATGTCAGGTAGCAGGCTCATCAAACCTGCTGCAAAACAGAGATAGGGCTAGTTGCCCAAGTGCCTGAGCAAATACAATGAAGAAAACTAATGTAAACATTTTTGTGAGCACCTGCTATATACAAGATGCTATGCATACACTGGGAAAATAAAAGCTTAAAAAATGCACTCTCTCTTTAAGAGGTGTATAATCTAGTTGAAATAAAATGATAATCTATCATACCTATGTAAAACCTACTTATAATTATTAATAATAAATATGATCAACTAGTAGGATATACAAAGTAAACTGTTTATTTCAAATTATGGTTTTATTAAATAAACTCAACCCTGGGCCCCATGTATCAGCTATTAAAAGCAAATTTACTCTTTCTCCATAATTGCTATTCAGACAAGGGAAAACACATCATCATAATAGCATAAATATAGCCATTCAAATATATGAATTGTTTTCAAATAGTAAATTAAATTTTAAGGGGTAAAGTCTGTTTATTCTAACTTTTTGTAATGATGCAAGGACAACCTTGAAGGGTTTAATTCTATAGTTCAGTCTAGAATTCATGCCAGGGAGAGTAGAAAAATCTTTTGGACTAAAAATAAATTGGAGCTTCTATTTTTATATTTTTAATTCCAGCATTTTAAAAATGTCTAGTTTGTGTATCTTATATATTTCATAAATTATATCAGTATAATAGAACATCTGTAAAATTTATATATGTGTATGTGTATGTACATATGAAACATGCCAAAATTTTTAATGAGGGGTATACAGTAAAAAATTTAGGTTCACTGCTGTCCTTAATGTAGCACTCTGTCAAGTGAGATAGACTACTAAAAATCTTACTCTTTTAGGTCCCTTTATGAAACTGTTTGCCATTTTTCTTAGGAGAAATGATACAAAAACATAAATGAGCATTTATAAAGCCGTGGTAGAAAATGCAGCTATTGTCTGTTATTTTCTTCATGTTTATTTTATGTTTTCATTGTGGTCTCTTAGTTATACCACTTCAGAATGGGAGAGACACTAAATTAAAAAAAAAATTGAAAAGAAAACTAAGCTAAGGCAAAGTACGAGAAAAATGTTTACGGTATATATCCCATTTCCTTCTTTTTTACTCATCTCAGTTTTAAAAATTAGCATCTTACACCATTCTGTAGAGTTAGCTCAGCAACGATGCCAACATTTGTTTCTGCTTTATCTTCATGTTTTTGTTTTAAATGCTTCATTGCTATATTTATAAAGCTATTCTTTTTACTTTTAAAACTACGAAATGGCTTTAGTAATCCATGATGATTTTATAACTAAAAGTTCTCACATCAGAGTCTCTGTGAACATAAAATGGTTAAAAGTATCTGTGTATTGGTCTTTTCTGCTGTATGCATTAGGTTGTAAAGGTCTGTCTGTAAACCCAATAACTCTGGAAGTTTGTGAACATGAGGATGAGAGGAGTCTAAAAGTAAGAAATGGGAAACTACAGAGAAATAGCATCAGTTTGAGATTCTTAGGTTTAGGGGTAGCCATTCAAAGAATACTTTGCAATATTGTTCATCCATGGAAAACACAGGCTTCTTTGACCTCAGGGGCTAGGAAGCTGTCTGGGTAACCCTGTCTGTAGAGGTCAAACAGTTCATGTGGTACCAACACTGACACTACTAACTGGCCGTGTTGACTATAAACTGTTACAACCACTAGAGCCAGGGTAATCAGTGTGACCACGGAGAGATTTGAGAATTAGTAAAAGGGTCCTTTGGAGGACTGTATCATCTTTAGTGAATTGTTGCCTGGTGGCCACAGGTTCAGGGTTGCCTTACAGATGTATGGCATCCCTGAGACCTTTCATTGTACATCAGAAGAACAAAAGGGAAGTGCATGGAGAACACAGCATCAAGAAGAAATCTTAAGGGAAATTCAACAGGGTAACACATGAATGTAATGACAGAGAGAACAGTATAGGGCAGCAGTGGTATTTGCAGTAGATATAAAAATCTTTCTTATTAAAGATCAAACTATACAAACCTCTCTCTCATGTACTGTAATTATCAAACTAAGAAAGAAGACATCCATCCAAGAAGGCTTTCAATTGTTGAATGTTTGCTTCCAAAAATACCACCAAAGTAACTGGTTGTTAAGGCAAAGCTGAGTTTGCGGCTTACCATAGTAAGGGAGCTTTCTACCTTCACAAGGTTTTAATAGCATCTTGGAGAGGGAGGGCAAAGTTGGGCTATATATGAAGTTTTTGGTGTCTGGTTTAAGATGGGGTCTTTTAATATGAGGGCTTCATTAGAGTTAGGTAAAGATTATCATATAGTGGTTCACGACTGGTGGGTGCAGCACGGAGAGGGTTTTGAAGTGAAGAGTTCAATAAAGGTATTGAGAATAAATGGTGAACTTTTACCTGCCTGGGCCAGGGCTTCCTGGAATAGTAACATTGTGTTGATGAAGACATTGTAATAGTAAAGTCATGTTAAGGGAGGCAGCCAACTTGTAAAGTAACATTCCTGTAGACAACAACAAGCTGTGTGGATGTAGGTGGTTCAGGTTTGCACAATCTAATGGCAAGACAAGTTTGGAACTCAAGAGGAGAATAATTTGAGTAAGGACAGGTAAGGATAAAGAAGAAGCAAGACTGACACTTTGGGATTAGCTAAAATGATGTTCACCTTCAGTGTGTGTGTGTGTGTGTGTGTGTGTGTGTCTCAGTTGGGGGTGGTGTGGGAAGCTGGGGACATTGGAGGTGGGATGGGAAGGGAGGGAGGTTGACAGTTCAATAAAACCATACCTGTATACTACACACATAAAATGTTTGTGTACATATGCCTGTAGTTTCATTTACTTTATCCATACTCTTCTTCCTTAATTTCTTTTGTTGTATACTAAAGTTTCAAATTAAAGAACTCCTTCTATATGATGCTTAAACATCAGGGAGAGCAAGTGCACCATCGGAAGATGACTATTAGTGCTCTTTGGCAGAAAGATCTTAGAGGAGCATGTGAACTTTTATGAATATGGCACTGTTAGGGGATCATTTTGGAAATCTGCCCTGTTGTTCCTATTGTATGTCTTTAAAAACTGCTTCTTTTTACTATGCTCCTTTTATTCCTCCTTTTGATAATCTGATTAATGGGAAATTACACTGATATCAGGAATTTCTTTTCTTTTCCTTTTGTACCTCTTCCTCATGACTTTTTATGCTTCTTTATATAGGTAATTTTAATTTCAGGCCTTCTTTTCTGTCCCTGGAATTTCTTGGAGCTCCTAGTTTTCAGCAGGAAGTGTTGCCTTAGGTGAGGGTTATTTCTGAGATTTCATTGAGTGGGACTCCTAAGGAACAGACTTTGAATAAATTCTTTTAATTCATAGAGCTGGAAAAAAAGTAACAGGTTACTTTGGAGAGCTTGCTTAAAACATAAAATTTCACCTTGAGCAATATTCAAATCGGGAACATTCCTTTTGAGTGATCTTCTTCTGCCTGCCAGTCCCTCACCATGAGTCTGCCAGAGACTGTTATCCCCATTCCGGTTAATGCTATTGTGTTTCTAAAGGAAGTAGCTTATTTTGAATAATGAGACTCCCTGACATTGGTTAGGGGTTTACTGGTAACATAGAAACTTTATGAAGAGAGACTTTCACAGTTAATCGATGCTACTTGCTGAATACTTGCATATCAGTTGTGCAATTCACATGTATTATCAGTAATTCATATAACTATTCTCTCTTTAAATATGTTGAAACTGAGGCTTGGGAAAGTTACTTATTCAGGGTCTTATATTAACAGCCAATCAATCTAAAGCCAAGCTATGAAGCCATTTCCACTTGACACCAAAGCTCTTTGTCTTTTGCTTCGCTACCTCTTCACGTCATATTGAAGCTGTCTTGAATGAGTTGTAGTTGCAGATCCCACAAGAAAAGAGATCAGTTTTGTTTATAGTTCTTCTAGGGGGTACTAACTTAACCCCTAACCCTTCCCCAGTCACTTCCTCTTTTGCTATCATGCATTTTATTTTAATCAACAATCTACACAGGCATTTTGCATCCTTTTTTTTTTTTTGCTGTTCTGTACATTTACTTATTTTAATCTCATCTTTCCTTCTGGATTTCGTCACAAATTAGCAAGTGACTATTTATTCATACAAATATGGCTATGTGGAAGGGGTTGCTGTTTGGTACTCGTGAGAGTAGAAGAGGTTGGAAATTAGATAATAGGAAAATGAGCACAGAATGCAACATGTATTCCTTTAACTGTCAGTACATGTTACCAGATAATGAAGTTAAGCAAGACCACACCCTGCTGTTCCAATTTTTAATACCTCTATTTGTAGTTACCATAATTTGCAAAAGCTTGGCTTGATTCAGTGCTGTGACTTAAAAATAGATTTGTATATATTCATCTGCTTAACAGTCCATTTTTACCTGGTGAATCTCCAAAGCCATAGGGCATGCTATATTTTAATATTTTCAGTATTGAAAAAAAATACAAGTCACTAAACATGATTGCTAATCTGGAGACTTTGGGGAAAAATCCATCCAATTTTTCAAAGCCTCATGGCAGTGAGGTGCAATGACAGGTCGATAAAGGTAGCTGAACAAACACCTCAGTCAAAGAATCAAAGTTATGAAATGGAAATCAAGTCCCATGAATGTTTGGATCCTGCCTTATTTCTTTTCTTTTTCCTTTTTTTTTTAAGAGACAGGGTCTTGCTCGCTCGGTCTGGAGGGCAGTGACGAAGTCATAGCTCACCGTAACCTTGAATTCCTGGGCTCAAGTAATCTTCTTGCCTTAGCCTCTCAAAGTGCTGGGATTACAGGTGTGATCCACTGTGTCCAGTCTGTACCCTGTCTCATTTGTTATATTTTTGAAGCCTCTACATTCTAGGTATTCTGCTATGAATGGAAGATATGAAACTGAATACCACATGGGTCTTGTCCTCACTGAAATCATAGTTTAGGCTGAAGTGTTAATCTTTAATCATTCTAAGCAAGATGATAAGTTCTGGATAGAGAGAGCTATACACAGCACAGGAGGCGTGCAGCTCTGGAGGGATCTGATTTGCTGCTAGCATGCAAAGGCTGCCAGGTCCCATCCTCATAAATAAGAACCCAACAGCTGACTTCCTTAAGATGTAAACAAGGGCAGAGCACTTGCTGCTTGATTGTTTACATTAACCCTAGTCTCTTGCCTCAAAGCCACAGTCTGCTGCAGAGGTAGGTAGGTAAGAGGTAGGTAGGTAGGGATGAGTGGGGTTTGTTTTCTGTTTCAGGTGAAACTACATCAACACCATAATGAAAGATCTTCCCTCTTGCACTACAATGATATGAAACTACTGAAGTCTAATCTGCTCTGGAGGCTCACTTTATGGTAAAACTTTCAATTACTCTTCAGGAGTAAAGTAATACATTTTACAGCTTAGCACCTAGTTATTGTATAATACTAATTAATTTTTTTGTTACTTTTTTTCTCATTTTATCCTCAATCTTGTGATGGCAGGGCTATTTTTGTAATTCATATATATCACTAAAACCAGAAAGTGCAACTTACTAAAATGTACACATTGCTAGTGGCAGTGTGTACTAATTAATAATTAGTCACCTAAAATCTGAAAGCTCCTTCCTCCAATCACACTGCTGCTCTTTAAAATAGTCTTCTGCCCAATGAAGGGTTCTAAGTGCCCATCTTGGCTGCATGAAACAGAGTCAATCATCAGGGCTGTCGTAGTTCATTCAAGCTGCTGTGACAAAATACCATAAACTGGGTGTCTTTACACAACAGAAATTTATTTCTCACAGCTCTGGAATCTGGGAATACCAAGACCAAAGGGCTGGCAGACTCAATATCTAGTGAGGGCCCATTTCTTGGTTCATAGATGGTACCTTCTAGGTGTGTCCTAATATGGAGGAAAGGGCTACAGATCTCTCTGGGGTCTCTTTTATAAGGGTGTTGATCCCAAGCCCTCATGATCTAATCACCTCCCATAGGCCTTACCTGCTAATACCATCATCTTGGGGGTTAGGATCTCAATGTATGAATTTGGGGGAAGGACACAAATATTCACACCATAGCAAGGGCTCAGAAGAGAGGAGCTGTTTTTACTTAAATTCTAGAAGACAGGTAAGGGAGGGCTGGGTCAGTCTTGTTGGCCCACAGCTTGGATTTTGTAGACCCTCAGGTGAGAGTGCAGCTCTTGGAATTTAGTATACTCTTTGCCTTCCTGGGCTAAGCTTCTGGCTCAATTTCCAGCCACCTAGTGATGAAGTAGTTTTCTTCCTTTAGCTATAAGTTATTAGGCTCGACTTGTGTGCCCGTGTTTCTTCAAAGATTGGTCATGTTGGTGACATATTGCTACCCTCTGTGATTATGACTGCCACACTCTTGCCTTATATGATATATATTTATCATATTTATATCGTGTAAATTTTTATGGACTCGTAATAGTTAAATATTAACATATATTTAATATAATACATTTTATTCATTCAGTACCTATTGAACGCTTTTGTGCAATACCTTGTAGTGTGCCCTGGATATACAAAAGTGAATATAACAAAGTTTATATCCTCTTGAAGTTTAAAATATAGTTTATTACAAAAGATTTAACTGAATAGTGAAGAAACTGAAAATAAATAAAAGTAACAAGGAAAATAAATACACATCACCTGTCATTACCCCAATCCATAGATATCCACTCTTTTTTTTTAGAGCTAAAGAACAATTTGTAATTTAAAAAAAAAATTTATTTCACAATGTTACAGGGGTACACATGTTCTGGTTACATACTTTGCTTTTGTACAGTTTGAGGCAACATTATGTGTGCCCTTCACCCAGTTAGTGTGCATTGTATCTGTTAGGTGTGAATTTACCCAACCCCTCACACCTACTTGATTTCCATTTAGTTTTACTTTCGTATGTAGACATAAGTGTTGATTGATTAGTTCCAATTTAATATTGAGTACATGTGGTGTTTGTTTCTTCATTCTTATGACACTTCACTAAGAAGACCTACCATTTGATCCAGCAATCCCACTACTAGGGTATTCACCCAAAGGAAAAAAAGACATTTTATAAAAAAAAAAAAAAAAACACTTGCACTCGGATGTTTATAGTAGCAGAATTAATAATTGCAAAGATGTGGAAACACTCTCTTTTTAAATTTATTTTTTATTTTCTGTAGAGATGGAGTCTCCCTGTTGCCCTGGCTCATCTCAAACTCCTGGCCTCGAGGGATCCTTCCAACTTGGCCTGCCAAAGTGCTGCGATTACAAGCTTAAGCCACTGCGCCTGGCCTCACTCTTAATATTTTAGGATATAGCCTTTTGATAGTATTATAGTATTGCCAAAAGGAGATTATATTATGCATTCCTTTTGTAATTTGTAATTTTCTCTTGTCACTGATTAGGGAGCATCTTTCCATTTGAGAGTCTGGTATACCATCATTTATAACCATTACAAACAATTCCTTTGTATAGATATTTTGTAATTCAGTTACTCAATCCCAAGAAAACTTTGTTATTATGAACTTCTATATGATATGTGTCCCCTTAATCATCTTTTTTATGCAACCATGTTTATTCACCTAGAACATACTCCTTAAATTTCAATTGGAAGATCAAAGTGATGCACATATAAGACTTTGGTTATTGTTACTAAATAGCTAGTTCTCCAGAAGTTTTGATGGAACCTTTGAATACTTTTGTTGAATAAATACAGGTTGAGAATTTCTTCTCTGAAATGCTTGGGATCAGAAGGGTTCTGGATTTCCGATTTGGATTTGATCAGATTTTGGAATATTTATGTGTTACTTACCAGTTGAGCATCCCTAATCTGAAAATCAGAAATCCTAAATGTCCCAACCTTTATTTTCTTTGAGCATCATGTCAGTGCTCAAAAAGTTTCACATTTTGGAGAATTTTGGCTTTCAGATTTTAGATTATGGATACTTAACTTGTATTTCCCTCTGATGGGACCAGGGAGTCATGGCTGGAGGGAGATGACCTTGTAATACAATCTTGGTGTAGAGAATGTATTGGGTGTGCAATACCAGAGGTTTCACTGAGTGTATAGTAATAAAGGTAGCCTTTGAAAAATATGGTTAAATAAAATATAAATGTATTATTATTATTTTTTTATTTCGGCATATTATGGTAAATGTATTATTTTGAATGATATACTGTTACTTCCATCTCTCCATGTGTAAAGTTCCATTCCTCGTCTCTTCCTCTAAAATGGATACTTCCTTTCTTTCCTTTTCTCCTTCCCTTTCTTTCATTTTGCACACATACAAATATTTTTGTACCTGATACGCTACAGCCAGAATATGATCTTTACTCTCTAGCAGCTCACAATCTAGTGAGGGAGATTTAAATAAACAGTGACCGCAACACTGAATAATACATATTATGACAGAGAAAAAGCACTGGGTGTATTTGTGCACACAGGATGAGGGACCTGTCTCCAACTGAGAGAAGTCAGGGTTTTTCTGTTCTTCTAGTATACTGACCTTGACCCCTTAATATCTCTTAGCCTCCATAGTCAGCCGTTGCTATGTTCTTCCTGTTTTTACTCTCCAATATTGCTTTAAATACATTCTCATAATCTGTTATTTCATTTCCACTTCCAGTGCTGTCATCCTTATTCAGATTTTTTTTGCCTCAGCCTGGACTATTCTAATAACATTCTTGTGTACCCAGCACAAGTTTCTTGACCCTCTTCCAATCTGTCTGGACATTGCTATCAATGTAACATCCATAAACCACTACTTTGAAGACTTCATTACCCTGGTCTAAAATCTTCAAAGGCTTTTTATGACTTACAGCAGAAAACCCACGCTCTTTAGCTTGATAATCAAGATCAAATAGTGACCTATTTTTCCAACCTGATTTCTTCCACTTATCTTCAATAGCCTCCCCTGACCTCTCTGACTTGGGCAGATCCTATCCATTCTCCAAGGTCTGTTGGAGATACTCCATAAAGCTGGGCCTGAAGCCATGTGCAGTGGCTCACACCTGTAATGCCAGCACTTTGGGAGGCCAAGGTGGGAGGATTGCTTGAGCACAGGAGTTGAAGTGAACTATGATGATGCCACTGCACTCTAGCCCAGGCAACAGAGTGAGACCTTGTCTCAAAATTTAAAAAGAAAACAAAAACAAAAACAAAAACAAAAATCTGTGCCTGACTATACCGGCTTGAAGTATTTCACCTTTATATGTCACCTTTAACAGTTGACCACTTACTGCTTTTATTGCTATCCTGAATTTTTCAAATTGTCTCATGTTTATATTTAGTCCTATTGAAAACTGATTTGAGTCCCAAAGACCATTGGCATCTCTTGTAGCTCCTAGCACAGAAACTTGCATCAGGAGTTCAACTTATGTGGAATCTGATGTTGATTAAACTGAGCTGCTGTTTGGACAATTCTCAAACTTTCTTGATTAGATTATGTATAAATACAGTCTAGTAATATTGACATGAATTAACTCATGTTTTCTTTCCTACTCTTCCACATTTTACTTTAATAACCATTGATGAAAATATTTAAGTGGCTCTAGACAAGGTTTTTTTTTCATTTCTTCATCCTTTCCTTTTGCTAGGGAATTCTAGGGAGGGGAACATCTCTTTCTTTCTTGGCACCAGGCTGCATAAATCATTCTATAATATAATTCTCTTTCCCAGGAATATTTTTGTAGAAAACTATGGCAAGGAAGGGAAGAAAGAAAGAAATAAGGAGAAACATGTGTGGAAACATGTAAAACAGGTGTGGCTGTTCCTGGCCCCTCTCACGCTTCCTCACTCTCACATACATGGGAGACATAATTATTGCAGCATTCTTTCCGACAAAGCCCAGACTTCATCTCAGAGTCCCATCCAACAGAGTGGGCCAAGCAGACACCATTAACCAATAGGAATTGGCAAGACAAATGAATTTCACTTAACATCCCCATTCTGGAATGTATATGAATATTTATCTCTCTTTGGGGAAACAAAATTAAATATACAAAAATTTGCATTTACTGTGTACACATACACTCTCATGATTGGGATAACTGTTTATTTTATAAAGGTTCTCTCTCTTAGAAGCAAATATTCACCATAGAGTTCTTTGAGATTGCAAACTTTCTTAGTACATTAAATGTATTATTTTATTTACACATAACTGCTTTTGAATGAATGATCCAAAGTGACTTCCTATATATGTTTAAGGCTAAACATCATTCTTAGTAACCACAATAAACAATTAACAAATAAATGGGTTAGAATTTGTGTAACATTCTCAAATTTTTAGCCTTTAGCATTGAGTTTCAACAAAAGTATTAGCATACTAGGTCTATATTTCATAGCAGGGATCTAAGCTTAGTCAATGCTGTTTATGTAGGAACAGTTTTCTTTTGCATCTGTACAGTACTTTATATTTACAAAGTATTTTCATATTGATTATTTCATTGTTTCTCTGCAATGTGTGGTAGGTTAAGAAGTACCATTTACTGATAGATAGATTTTAAAATAGAGAAATTTTATTTCAAGAGTTAAAATAACCCTAGGAAACGCTGGGCACAAGTGTAGATAGATTTGAATTTAGCTTTTATTTAATTTTTAAAATATGCAATACTTTTATATCTTCAATATTTATAAGGTACAAAGGCTTTGCAGAGAAATATATCCTTCTGATATCTGTCTCCCATCTACTCATTTTCCTTCTGGGATAATATTTTTAGTATAGTATTAGTTCCTTGGCTATCCATTCAGAGATATTCTACATAATATATTCTTGTATCTATTGTATATACAAGAGAATAGAAGCCCCCTCTACCATATTTCATGCCAATACTAATTTGCTGTACACTTCATTCTGCACCTTATTTTTTTACTTAATTTTGTATAAAAATGATTCCAGATCTATACATAAAGAAGTCATCTTCAATTTTTTTAAAAAAGTTAAATAATACTGAATTGTTTGAATGCATCATTATTTATCTGAGTAAGCTCCTACTGACAAGTATTGAAATGGTTTTAAATCTTTTGCCATGGTAAAAAAAAATGCTACAATATAAAAACTTTGAACAAAAGTCATTTCACTCATGTGGGAGTATTTATGTTAAAGGTAAATATCAAGAAATCATGCTGTTAGGTGAAAGGGTGTATATACTTGTAATTGTGACAGATATTGCAAAATTATCCTCCTAAGAAATTGGATCAATTTGTACTCCCACCAGCAATTATGAAATGATCTGTTTCCACACATCTTTGCCAAAGATGTTTTACTATACTTTTTGATATTTGCCAGGTGAAAAATAGTACCTCATTGCAGTTTTAATTTTGAGTTATCTTCTTGTATTATGAGTATAATGGGGCATTATGGAGAAGTTCTTATAAATAGAACTATTTGTTTTTCCTCTTTTGTTAACTATCTGTTCTTCCCTTTCCATTGGGTTAATAGTCTTTTTAAATTTATTGGCAGCAGCTACTATTTGTTAGAGAAATTTGTTTTTTGTGTAAAGCATAAGAATTCTGAGTCTAAATTTCATGTTCCCACTATATTAACCAAATAAGCAAAACAGAATTTCTAATAATGGTGTCTCCAGGACTTGCAAATTTTTTGCTTTGTTTATCTGTTTGCAGTAATGATACTCCCTATTGTTTTGTTACCCCAAAGTTATTTCCTCCCTGTAATTAGTTTACAATGCTAATGAATTTTAACTTCCCTCTAATCTTTCTTATTTCTGAATCCTTTCAAATGTCCCCTGAAAATAATCATACCAGTAAGAGTACTCATTCATACTAGGAGGCATTTCTTTTTTCTGAAATTTTTTATCAGAGTGTTCAGAAATAAATGAATTTCTCCTAAACCACTTTCAGGATTTCAGTAGTGCACTCAGATGTTCATAGCAGCACAATTAACAATAGCAAAGATGTGGAAACAACCCAATAGCATAGATCTCTTTTAAATCTAAGCATTTGGGGCCCCCAGATGTTTCTGGGTATGTGTGATACCAAGATGTATTTCCTAAGTTCAGACTTCCTCAGACTTAGCCCGTGACAATCTTCCTGCTCTGAATTTACCTCTCTTGGATGGTGTACCCCTCCCTGCCTGCTGATCCACTGGGCTTGTCCCAGAAAGAAAACTACTACACCACTCTTTCCCATGCCCTCCTGGTCCACAGATGAATTTTAGTGGATTATGGCTAGCCAAACACAAATCCTGAAAACATAAAGAACA